AGTGGGAAGGGAGCTATTGCATTGTAAACTGTGGTCAATGACATGAGACAAAGTATATGTGAACTGCTGTATGGAAAGTGAATTCACTCTGTAAATCTTCACCCAAATCACAATAAATAAAATAAAATTAAAAAACAAATAAAAAAAAAAGAAAAAAGAAAACACCAACTAACATCATTGTGATCTCCCATCTTTTATAATGGTAATTCTTGTATCCTCTCATAGGTTACTTTCATTTCGATTACTACTAACTGTGATTTGTACCTTGCATCTGCCCTTTTATCTTTTCTCTATTTATATACTTAGACATGCATGTCCCAGAACACGCCTGATGTATACCAAGAATGTCCCCATGAAAAGCAAAATAAATAAATAAATAAAATAAATAAATAATTACATGTAAGACTAATTTTGTTTTTGAGCTTTAACATGAAATTCTGAACTACTGGTCAGTTTTGCCAGATTTTGAACCATTAAATGAGTCAATGCCTTACCTAGTATGTTCTTCATGAAGAACAAAGGAAGCATATTTATCTCAGTTCCAGGAATAACTGTATCCCTGAGCAATTCTTTTTTTCTATGAGAGTCACATAACTTACCTGTACTCTAGCTTGGCCACTAGAAGGAGTACCCATAGCTTTACATATGTAAATTTTTAATTGTGATTTAGGGGAGGGTTTACAGAGCAAATCAGTTCTCCATTCAACAACTCGCATACATTTTATTTCATGCCATTGACTGCAATCCCTACATTATGCAACACCACTCATCTCACTTCCTCCCTTTGTTTCCTGCTTCCATTCTCCCTTCTTTCCTATTTCTTCCTGCCTTCTGAACTTTGTCCTTGGCCAAATGCTGCCCTTTTGATCTTGAATGATTGATTGTTCTAAGGAGAGTGTACCTTCCTGGTGTTACTGTTCATCTTACAGACGCATCTATTGTATAAGACTAATTTTTAATTACAAAATTGTGTTATGTTTTCCAATTTATTTCTAAAATGAGAAAATACACAGTACCTTATAGGCCTGAATGAGCATGTAGATTACTCCAGGGGCACCATGGCACCAATGGACAAGCAGATCTCGATTATCATCCACACATGGAGGGTAATTGCCAGAAGGGAATTTCAGCTGGCAGACGTAGTCTACACTGGGCTTGACCAAACTGTGTAACTTCGCTTGGCTCACTTGAAGGCTGGGCTAAAAACGAGAAATGGTTATTAGTGCTACTGAAGCAAACAGACCTTCTTAGGCCTCAAGGGAAGGGTTTTCAACCAGAAATAAAGCATGACCAAAAGGAACTGGAAGTCATTTAGAGCTTCTGGATCTCATCCAATTTTTTTTTTTTTTCCATTTACCGTATATTTTAGTTCCATGTTTTATGATTTCATTTTGTGGTTTCAAATCAAATAAAGGAACAAATTAAAATTCAGTTCACTTAACTCTTGGGGTCTGCTAATGTATTATTATGTATTATATTACATTTCATTATTTGTTTTTATCTACATTCATTAAATGATTTTCCTGAGTCAATGCTTGAGAATTTGAGTGTAAAGAGAACTTGCCTAAGGTTTCAATACTGATAGCATACTTTAAAGGTCACAAAGCATGAGCCAAACCAAACACAACTTTCATTATTCCACTTATGGCTGTGGCAGGTGATGTTTCCAATGGAAGAGGCCAGTGAGGGGTGGGCAGTGGTGTGTGAAGCAGTGGCAGAAGGCAGAGGTGGCGGGGAACTAAGACATACCGATAAAACTATTTTCAGAGATACTGAATGTGTGCCACATTCTTTAGAGGACAGAAACATGTTCAAGTTTACCCAAAGAATACTGTTCAAACCCAGTTTAAAAATTAAGAGAAAATGAGTGGATTTTCCTCAAACTTGCAGAAATTATCCTACTTGGCCTAAAAATAATACTGTTTTGTTTTACATGGACACACAGGTGCTTACTATAGAGGATGTTCAGGATGAAAAATGAAACCATTTCAAACAGATAATATTCTGCAAATGGAAAAATCAATACTTGGGTTTTCAGATTCCTTATTTGAGCTCACAAAAATATGCACGGCAAAGACGCCTCCAGAGCATCTGTTTTAATGAGCCCCCTAGGCACTGACACGTGTGTCTCTCCAGAAATTTTAAAAGACATAAATTCTCCTTTCCCGAACACTTAAGATTCTATGTTTACTTTTGGAAATAATGAGACAGTGAAGGAATGTGCTGGAAAAACTAAAGGAATTTAAACTGTCAAAAACCCAAATTATAAAACTTCTAATTAAGAAGTGCAGAATGAATATATCACTGATCTCTTATTGCCACTAACACTCAAATGTGACTTTGCATTCAAAAACAGTACCTTTGAGTTTTTGCTTCGTGTCATTGTTTATGGTAATGGGCAGGTCTAACGTTGATTCATTCTGTGTTTTTATAGCCAGTTACTAAACAGCTAGTAGTAGTGTCTGTCTGAGCAATCATGTTGAACATATTAATTAAACACTTTTATTTATGACATATTGTGCTTTGGGAGAGTGAGGGAGGCATCTCTACTACCAGTAAAAATGATTTTTTTTCTTGCTATGAATAATTAAAAAAAAAAGATTTATTGTGCTTTAGGTAAAAGATTAATAGCATATTAGTTTCCAGTCACTAATTCATACACAAATTGTTTCATGATGTTGGTTGCAATCTCTGCAATGTGTCAGCACTCTCTTCATTTCCTACTTGGGTTACCTGTCTCCATTCACATGGTTTCCCTGTTCCTTCCTGCCTTCTCATCTTCGGTTTTGGACAAATGTTGCCCTTTTTGTCTCATATAGGTAATTGTTGTAAGGAGTATAATATTATGTTAGAAGCCTGTCCATTATCTAAGGAGCCCTGGTGGTGTAGTGTCTAAGGCATTTGGCTACTAACCAGAAGGTCGGTGGTTCAAACCCATCAGCCACACTGTGGAAGGAAGATGAGGCAATCTACTTCTGTAAAGATTTACAGCCTTGGAAACCCAGCGGGGGTCACTATGAGTTGGAATCAACTCAATAGCAGTGGGTTTGGTCTCTTATCTGGCTGAAAAGTGGGAGTGTCTTCAGTTTCAAATCAGAAGGCTGTCTCAGGCCAACAGTCTCAGAGGTTCCTCCAGTATCTTTCAGACCAGGGTTCTGTTTTTTTTTTTAATTTAAATTTTGTTCCACAGTTTTTACCCATTCTAACTAGGGCCTTCTATCGTGGTTGTGATCAGAGTGGTCGGTAGTGGTAGCTGGGCAACATCTAGCTCTTCTGGTCTCAAGTTAAAGGAGGCTGTGGTTCATGTGGGTCATCAGTCCTTTGTACTAGCTGCTTCCTTGTGTCTTGAATTTCTTCATTCTCCTTTGCTCCAGGCAGTAAGAAACCAATAGTTACTTCTTAGATGGCTGCTTGTAAGCTTTTAAGACCCCACATGCTACTCACCAGACCAGGATGTAGAACATTATCTTTAAGCACTGTATTTTGCCAATTGACTGAGACTATAGTCCTTTGCCTTCAAATCCAATAGTTCAGTCTTGCTATCTAAGTAGTTCCTATCATCATGCTATGTGTTCTATTGTTGTTATGTGCCGTCGAGTTGGACCCAACTCATAGTGACTCCTCCTTGGGTTTCCAAGGCAGTATCACTATGGAAGTAGATTGCCCCATCTTCCTTCCGAGGAGTGGCTGGTGGGTTTGAACCGCCAGCCTTCTGGTTAGCAGTCAAGTGCTTAGGCACTATGCTACCAGGGCTCCCTGTGTTCTATTTTATATATATATGTAACAATTACAAATATGTATGCAGAAATATCCACAACTCCATCTATATATGTATGCAGGTATACTCCTATATGACCTCCCTCACCTATTCAGTGGACATAGTTATTTAAATGTATCTGCTCATAAATTACTGTTATTACTGTTGTTTTAGGACTATGTATGTTATAGCATTTCCCATAGTTGTCCCTTATTCTTGTACATACCTCTCAGTGTCTTCCTGTGTCTTGGTCTCAACTGTGCTGACTTCCCTTTTCCTTCACCAAAATTAGCACATGTACTATCTGATGGTACAGTGCCTAAGGCATTGGACTGCTAACCAGAAGGCTGGAGGTTCAAACCCACCAGCTACTCCTTGGAAGGAAGATTGAGCAATCTACTTCCGTAGTGATACTGCCTCGGAAACCCAAGGAGTAGTTGATATGAGTTGAATCAACTCAACAGCAGTAAGTTTACTATCTAGTTAGTGATTATCTTTCCCTTACCCTCTCATATCCCTGGTACCATCAAAGAATGCTTCTTTCTGTGTGTAAACTTGCTCTTGATTTTGTATAATAGTGGTCTCATACAGTATTTGTTCTTTTGTGAATGACTTATTTAACTCAGCATAATGTCCTCCGGGTTCATTCATGTTGTCAGATGTTTCACGGAGTCATCATTATTCTTTATGTTTGCATAGTATTCCACTGTATGTACGTACCACAGTTTATCCAGTCATCTGTTGACGGACTCTTAGGTTGTTTCCACCTTTTTGCTACTACAGATGCTGCTGCAATGAACAAGAGTGTGCCTATATCTACCTGTGTCACAGCTCTTAGTTCTCTAGGATACATACCTAGGAGCAGGATTGCTGGATCGTATGGTATTTCTATTTCCAGCTTTTTAAAAAGGAAGTTCTGTATCACTTTCCATAGTAGTTGTACAATTTTGCAGTCCCAAAGCCTTAGCAGCATTTGTTGTTCAATGTTTTTCTAATCAGTGCCATTACTGCCAGGGTGAGAGGGCATCTCGTGGTAGTTTTGATTTGGATCTCTCTAATGGCTAATGATCATGAGCATCTTTTCATGTGTTCGTTGGCCACCTGACTGTCTTCTTTGTTGAAGTGTCTGACTATGTCCTTTGCCCATTTTTAAAATGGGTTGTCTTTTTGTTGTTGAGGTGCTTTCTTTTTTTAAAATAAATTTTAGAGATTAGACTCTTGTCAGATACGTCAGTGACAAAAATGTTCCCCTAGTCTGCAGGTTCTCTTTTTACTTTTTTGGTAAAGTCTTTGATGAGCACAAGTTTTCATTTGTAGAAGGTCCCAATTATCCAGTTTATATTCTGCTGTCTGTGCATTCTCAGTTATGTCATAAATCAGGCTCCTAGTTTGTCCCTACATTGTCTTCCATGAACTTTATTGTTTTAGGTTTTGATCCATTTTCAGTTTTTGTGTATAGTGTAAGCTATGGATCCTGTTTCATTTTTATGCAAATGGATATTCAGTTTTGCCAGCACCATTTATTAAAGTGATCATCTCTTCCCGAATTAATGGACTTGGACCTTTAGTTGAAGATCAGCTCTCCACAGGTAGATGGATTTACTACTGGTCCTCAATCCTGTTCCATTAGTCTGTGTGTCTGTCATTGTGCCAGCAGCAGGCAGCTGATTACCATTATTGTACAGCAGATTCTGAGACTGCAAAGTGTGAGGCCTTTTACTGGGTTCTCTTCTTCAATGTTTTACTTATCCAGGGCTTCTTTCTTTTCCATATGAAGTTGGTGATCAGTTTTTCCATCTTGTTAAAGAATCCTGTTGGAATTTGGACTGGGATAGCAATATATCTATATTATATTAATATATATCTATAGATCGCTTTGGGTAGTATAACATTTTCACAATATTAATTCTTCCTATCTATGAGCAAGGTATTTCCATTTATGTAGGTCTCTTTTGGTTTCTTGCAGTACTGTTTTGTAGTTTTCTTTGCAGAAGACATATATGTCCCTAGTTAGATTTATTCCTCAATATTTAATCTTTTTGTGTGTACCACCCATCTTAATGGCCAGGGACTGCCGCTCATGAGGACACCTGACTCTGATACTGGCTTCCTTGCCACTGTGTGGACACCAGGATCCCTGAATCTTTCGCCCTTTCCCTCCTTAGACTCAGATTATGACTGCTCACCTTGCTTTCCCCCAGATGTGTCTACACAGCTTCTCTGTCCCTTCTTGGGAATGCTGTGAAATTGCGCTCCTGCACTTCTCTCTCAAGGGTTGGCACTGGCTTTCTCTTTAAGACGGCCACGAGGAACTGGAACAGCTGGCAGAGCAGCTCCGCCCCATCACTCCTTGTTCGTTGCATTTTTTCAATCTCTTCTTCCAGCTGGTGTTCAATTCTATTCTTTATCCTTCCAATTTATGTTCAGGGTGCCAGGTTTGCCATGTGCATTTGTTTCACTTGCCTTCTTGGGTCTTTGCTGTAGTGGGATGCCATGGGATATCTAACTAAGCCACCGTCTTGGCCCCTGCCTCTCTTGCCATGAATTCTTATTCTTAAATGCCAATTCTCCGTAAAGACACTTTAGTAAACTCCTTAAAACAATGCTCTCATGGGCAGCTCTCTTCTGACCTCCTCTCCCAAGTTACACTTATTGCAGCAAATTCTGTTTGTCCTTAGTCTATCTGACTTTGGCTGATGTCTCCCAGTAGTATTGTTGTTGTTATGTGCCGTTGAGTCGGACCCGACTCATAGCGACCCCTCCTTGGGTTTCCGAGGCAGTATCACTACGGAAGTAGATTGCCCCATCTTCCTTCCGAGGAGTGGCTGGTGGGTTTGAACTGCCAGCCTTCTGGTTAGCAGTCAAGTACCTTAGCCACTATGCTACCAGAGCTCCCCCCAGTAGTATTAGATCCTAAAAACAGTTGAGCATAGCAAATTCAGCTATTTTTCAGGTAAGTTACATGAAATCCATTGAAACTCCCTTAGCTTTGTTCTCTAAGCTAGCCTGAGGCAACACGTGCTCATTTGTTTTCTATTGATTTTGTTTTCACTCCTGGTATATTTCAACGGGTTGTACCTTTATAATGAGGAATAATATGCTCAATTCAAGGCATTTGCTGAGAGGGAAGAAGAGAAGAGCAGGAGGTACTTCCTATAGAATTCTAGGTGAAAACGCTTTCAGTCTGTACAAATGCCATTAGGTAGGTAAGTGTGGTCAGCTACAAATCAAATGTCAAATCTCAAAGTGAAGTGTCTTTCATGTTTATAACCTTTAAAATGTACACTGGGAAGTATTATCCTTGTTTATCTAGGATGGTTACTACAAGGAGAGTGATGCAGAAGTCGACAGAATAATAAAATAGAGCTGGAGCACTTCTCACCCAAGACAGTATACTCAGGAAGCACATTGTAAAGTCTGACCATAGTCAACCCTTACCTGCATTAGGAAGTAATAAATTCCTGCCAGGCCATGAGCAGCCCCCACGTAATATTCCTGGTACCATTCATACATCAGTGGAGTACTTGCTGTGAAGTTTCTCTTTCTAGCCAGGTTTTCTCCCGAGGTTAAAACTGTTTCACAAATCTATAGGGAGGAAACCGACCCAAATAATGAGAGAACTAGAATAAAAACCTTCCCGGTGGAGGTAAGGAACTTTTTGCTACAGGGAACATGGTGAATTAGATACTGACTTACAGCCAGGCCAATGGCACAGTTTAATTCTGGACTCAGATAAGTAGGTGTAACTGTATTCGGCCTAAAAGAGGGAGAACAGGGATCATTTTGAACTCTTCAGCCTTCCTTCAGGCACTAAAGGAGGTCCTGCATCTAGGAGGAGAAATGTGGCATCAGTTTTCTTCACAAAGAGTCTATAAACTCTCAAATGGAGTGGCTGGACCTCTCACTCAGACCCACTCTCTATCGTACCTCCAACAGTGCTCAGGTGGGGCTGTTGGCTCTTTGACTATGCCTGACTTTCTGAGGTGATGACACCCTTTCCCACTACTTAGGTTGTGCTAAGGAAAGAAACAAAAACAATAGTGGAAGCAGAAAGTAGATAAGTGGGATCCTGAAAAGGCTCCTAAAAGGATCACATAAATGTGGTACCTGCTGAATATGGCTTTGAGGAATCTTTTCCACTCCAAAGTTCTTATTCACAAAAAGAAGTGCATAGATGTAACCCATTCGTCCATACAGCATTTCATTTGGAGCATGGGGATCAATCTTATGTAGATGAATCAGCCTGGAATACAAAATACACGCCTAAGATAACTGAAAGGGGCATGGAGTGGTATACAAGTATACCTTAAAAATATATATACCAGAGTTCTGGTAAGATGGCAGAATAGGCAGAAAGACTTCTGCACAGACCCTCTTCAACAAAGAAAAGGGGAACCAATTAACACAGATACAGAAGATAATCCTGGACTCCTGAGCCTTGAAGGGAAGGATATAAAAGTAGACTAAATTCCAACTAGCAGAAGAATTTGCATGAAAACACCAAAAAAGGACACATATGGAGCTGTGGTCTGGCAGCAATCCTGATGGCACAGACAACTTGGATATTGCCGAGTGGTGGAAGGACCTAAGAATTAACCTAAAAATTGGCCCTGCTAGCCAGGGACTGCCTGGAGGACTGCTCTGGTGGCTGGGGAATAAAAGGGGAAGCAGCAAAGAGCAAGGTGGGCTGAGCTGTGGACTTTTGTCTGTCTGGAGGGAGCAGCCATTTTGAATGTTCACAAGTGCTTGACCATTTTGGATATTAAAGCGACGGAGTTCTCCCAGATTCCAGGGGCTTAAGAACAGGCTCCAGTTGCTGAGAACCCCAAGGACATTCTGGACCCAGACGACTGGAAAGGTGAGACATTCCCCTTGTTACTCTTATACCCCACACCCTCTTGGTGAATGGAAGTGTGGACATCCCTCACTCCAACCCACTTTCTGGGCCAGCAGGAATTTCATCCCAGTCTGTGTGCTTGGATGGAGCCT